CACCTTATGTTTTCTCACTAGGACTGTGTGCATGGAGAAGTGTTGTGCTTTCTTTGCGGTACGGACTGAATTATTAATAACAGAAGAGTGCCAGTAAACTATTAAAAAAAGATTCTAGAAACATTTTTCCTACTTATCTTTCTTGACCGAAAGATTATCATATCGTTGAATATCCCAGAAAAGTAGAATCGCAGGACCCAAGAACACTTTTCGTTACAGTATTACCTGCAGCAATTCGTTTAAAATATATTTGGTAAAAACATTACTTGTTTCTTCTCTATGAATGAATTAGTACTCCTGTCACTGTATGCAGTCAGAAAATTATTACAGCACGGAAGTGCTCAGAAAAGAAAGTTCATTCAAATACTTCTCTAATCTACACAACTAGACCTCAGTTCCACATCAGCTTTGCTTCGTAAAGTGCCTTTGTACACTTAGAATTGTCAGGAATGGATACCATAACTTAACACGGCACACCACAACATAAGTTTAGAAGGACTGGGAGCGGTTAGGTTAGATTTGGGTTAAGTTAAGTTTGGTTTCGTTTGGTTTTGTTAGGTTGTTTTAGGTTAAGTTACGTTGGATTAATTTAGGAAATTATATTAACGTTAATACTGGTTAGGTTATGTTACGGATTTAGGTAATTTAAGAGTATCCACTGCGCATTATCCACATCGTAAGGTTTGGTAGCTACGCTCGGCGTCGATTTTCCAGTGAGGACATAAACTGCCTAAACAAATACGATCCTTCTTCGCTGGAACCACATTTCTGAATGAAAACTAAAAACTATGAAACAATGCAAAAAAATTTAATAATTTCCCCACAATTTTAAGTTTCCTTTTATGTTGTAGGTTTTCATATCGAGTAAAACAGAAATGACACTCCTAGATTGTTAACTACAATATCACTATTACCCAAACAAAAATTTCCTCCTAATTTTTTCATGTTCATTTGAACTCTTACGCTTTTCATTAATAATATTACATTATCTAATTACCTATTAGTTGATGCCCTTATTTCTTGTTATTTTAATAATAAAAATTATTATTAATTTCGTGGAAGAGTCCTTCTTGAAAGCTGACGATCGCCCAGCTGCTCAAAAAGTTACCGGACTTTTTACGGAAGTTCCATTATGGTATATGAGCCCTCCACAGGCGCCTATCCTCAGGCAACTGAATCCAGTCCACACCCACATATTCTATTTATTTATGATTCGTCTTAATGTAGCCCCCCCATCCAAGCCGTGGTCTGACAATACATCTCTTTCAATCCATTTTTCCAATGAATGTTCTGTGGACCTGTGTATTTCTCCCATCTAATTCTCCTTGATGTGATTTTGCTAATAATATTTGTGAAGTTACATTCTTGTTTCTTGTTTATGCAGAATACCATTCTGTATGTTCCATTGTAACACCAATTGAGGCTTGCGTTCCGGTTGGGTGTTGTACCACAAGCACATTGATTTGTAATTTCTTTTTGGGGTATTCTCAGTCGTGACTCTCGGCGTCTCTGAGTACATGCACTTTCAGCGCCCTGCTCTCATAAGGAAACTGCCCACTACGAAGCTGAAAGCCAGGGCTAGGGCTCCGACGTGCCGGTAATGACTTGTAGTTTGGAGATCTGGTTTGCTGTATGCCACTTTGACTGTACGCCCGCGCTAAAGCTCGGTATCAATATGGACGCCCGGGGTGCTCAGGTTGGTTAACTAGGGCTGGACCGGGCCAGAGAGGAAACTCAACAGCCAGAAAAGTCCCGTGGAGTTGTGATGGGATCGCGCATGAAGAGTGGGAGCTGCTTTGGGGCAGACCTGAAGTCCCCGGCGATCCAAGCTACCGGCACGTTTACTACGACAACCCCGGCCCAGGGAGCAGTTTTGGGGGAGGAGGATGAGCCATGCCTCATGGCTCGAAGTGGCTTATCTCCCCTCTCTAGGGTCTTTGGAGTCGGCGGCATCGAGACCCTGATGAGACAGCAGGGCAGAAGGACAGTCTGTGTGTGTCCGCCGGAGAGAGAACGACTCGAGGAGAAAGTCGGAAGGCAAGTCAGGGTTTGTGGGGGTTTAGTTGGGTCTCTGGAGTCGGATACCCAGCCGGAGTTTGAGCCCTGAAAGGTGTTTTGATTCTGTTTATTTTATATTTAAATATTTTTCATTAAATAATATACTTCGGTTATTCGAAGTAGTTTCATTTGGTTTTCTTTTAACTTTTCACCGCTTTACCCTCCCCAAGCCGTACCACCTCCCGGCCTGGGACGATCGTGGCCTCAGTAACGAAATATGGCAATCCCCTCCTCCAGCCTCCATATGAGACGAGGTTATTACAGCGGTGAAAATATCAGTATTAGTCTTTCAGGTTGTAACGTCGTTTGGACTTGTAGATATCAGCATTTCGGAAAACATTCTGCTTTCGGTCCTGAAGATGGATCAAAAATGTTATTCCGAAACGATGGTATCTACGAACAAGTCCACATGACGTTACAGCCCCCCAGAGAACCAAAATGTACTGCTCCATTCTCCTCCTCACATCTTCATAAGCCAAAATAATATCCTCGGAATCTTGTTCTCAAAGACTCTCAATCTAGGTCCTTACGTGTATATAAGAGATCTGGTACCGAACCCACATAAAGCAACTTCAATAAATAGTTTTATATTGCGCTTTCAGATCAAACACGCCAAGACATCCGATGTTATTTCTTACAAGAAGTGTTCATTTTGTTGACCACAAATGTCTTCTTGCGAATGTCCGCTTAGGAACACACCCAGTCCGCAACAAACGGGAAATTGTGTTTATCTGCCCTTGTATCTCTTGTCGAAGCACTTCAGTTTTTCATTGTACTTTAACAGCGCCTGTCGACGTGAAGAATTGATGTATTCACACTTGACCTTTTCCGATAACCGCTTTGATTTATAATCTCAACAACCAGAGCCTAACTACCCGAGTTTCAAAGCTTCAAACGGCGTGATTTTACGTACTTGTAGAAATTTACACTGGTCTCTGAAGAAAAGAAGGCATAGTTCCGTGCGTTATTCGAGACTGTACGATCAGTTTCAGATTTAAAGAGATTCAGCTCAGACATCGGCTACCTGCTGGGAAACTTCAGAACAGAAATTTGTAACAACTATTAAATGACTGTCGCAACACTGCCTTATTTTTAGCTCAATATTTTTGTTGATGAAGTTTGTAGCACTGTTTACTAAAATTATCCAACGCTAAAAGTAGTGCGTTTTGGGTACCCATAACGTTGGCACGTGTTCAAAACGGACGATATTTGGTTAATGAAGAATTTTTCCTAAATATAATGCGGTCACATGCATTAAAAAGATGAGATTCGTTGGCTGTACTGAGATTCTGAAACAGATTGAGACCAAGCCGTAGAACAAACGACCTCGGCACAACATAAAGTTAGTACACATTAGCATTTTTGATAATATCATGTTAGTAAGTTCTGGGGCTGCGAGGATTTATAGATACTCAAGTTCTTGCAGCCACTACGAGCATTGTGATTTTCACGGCTGAACAGGAGCTCCCGAGAAACGTTATTGTTATTCAAGGCAATTCCCCAGTCCAAAAGTCACGAATAAGTTCCGGCCTCTGTGCAACACTGAGGCTTACGTAACTCAACAACAACAACACTTGCAGTCCCTATCTAGCCTCAAGTGACTAATTTCTGATCAGATATCTGCATATAATATTACGAAAAAAGGAGGTTGCACAGCGGTGAACTGAAACATGTTGTTTCTGACTGCAATTAAATTCTATAAGTATATTTAATTCTGAGAGAACGAAGTTCTCAAAATCTACACAGAACAAATTATTGAGTCAATGCGACTGTTCTTAAAAAAGAAACTAAGTTTTTTATAAGGAGGATTATTTCATTGTTAGACAGCGTACAGAACGGCCATTATATTATATTTTTACAATAGGGCGTACATGTTTATTACAACCACCGACCCTTTCCGGCTTTATCGGTCTTTTACTACTTAACAAGAATAAAGCCTTCATTCGCAAATGTACTGTGTAACAATATAAAAAAGTCATAAATTCTTCGAGTTATTTCCGTTACCTAGAGTGTCGTACGAATATCTTAAACATCTTCCTCAGAAAATATTTTTCTAATAATTTTTATTATGTAAAGTACTATCCATTTTCAGTTCCTAAATACGTTCCTTCTGTGACATTTCACTAAAGCAGACATTAATTGTGAGATATGATGTTCCCAAAGCGGTGAAAATGTCGATGTTGGTCTTCTGGGTTGTAAAGCCTTGTAGACTTATAGGTAGATACCAACTTTTGGGGGGAAACACAGATTACAGGGCTGAAGATTCAGACATATTCCTACTAAAACTTGGTATCCACCCACAAGCCCACTCTATGCCACAGTGCAGAAGACCAACATCGTACATTAACTTAGTAGCCCGCTTATTCGACCTGACACATTGAACAGATATGCGTAAACGCTCATGAAAGGGTTTTAGAAGGACATGGCATATACCATAGGAGCATAAATTGCTGGCAACATACCTGGGTGTCGTTCCAGTACATATGTAGCATGTAGTTGCGAAGAACCGTTGGATTTTCGTTGATGTGGTCGACAGCCAGCATCACAGACGGCATTACCCCGCGTCCCACTCGTGATTCAGGAACATGATGGCCGTACGGGAAGAAACCAGCTATGTAGACGTCTCGGCGCTTGTTGCCAGGTAAGTTCGGCTTCTGACACGTCACTTCCGACAGCGTGAGGCACAGCAGCGCCACGATGCAGACGATCTTTCTCAAAGCGGTCATTATGGGGCTAGTTCTGTGTAAAAAACTTCACTGTCTTGAAACTATGGTAGATTACTTCACTATCGTCTGTGTTTAAGATAGCTTTATATTCAATTAGTCACTACGATTGAAAGTCTAAACAACTTTCGAACTTATTTCTTTACACAACATGCTGTAATATCTTTATCAGGGTGAATCGTGTACGTACTTAATCTCAGTCTAATGTTATTTGTTCTAATCTTAAATTAAATTCTATGACATGTTAAGAAAAGTAAATACTTTATAATTTGCGCAAGAGTCTGTTTTCAGTTGGAAATAAAATGCGATGAATTTTGTGAAATATTTTCTCATTTACGTTCGAACACTTTCTACTTAATGTCTTACGACTTTTGATAATACACTCAATAAACGTTTATCCATGTAAACATTCTGTGAAGCTTTCCTTTTATATAACAATATTTCTGAAAATTCATTTAAGTATGCCTCTGTTTACAGTTTTGAAAGTAATCTCACGTAGCCTTGAACACTTATCACCTACCATAGAATTTCACTTCTGTATAACTTATAATAAGGAATATTAATGGTGAGTTATTGTGGAAAATTTGTTTGATGAAAACGTTTGACGCCATAGCTGATATTGTATTGTTGCAATTGGTTCGTCATGAGCTACAGGGCTTTGTGCGTGTTGTTGCTAATGGCACTAACCATTCGCCACTTCATTTCCTGTGTTAACGTCTAATAATCTGAGCCACTTTACAATTCAAGAAGAAAACAATGACGAAGAACACGGAAAACAACTATTCGATACACCAATCTCAGCGTGAGACATGGAAATAAGAGACGTATTTTTATCTTCACTTCGTGTATTACTAACTCTTCAGTTCGTGATAATAACACCAGGATGCACTGGTCTTCCTTGTAATATTGTCTGACCAACATCCGCGAAGTATTGCCATACTCCTTCACCAGTCACTTCATCAATCACAGGTGTTTAAAGTTTTTCTGTTACTCACTCGCAATAAAAGAAGACAATTTATCTCTGTTGTACAGTCCGCCATCATAAATATCGTCTTCATTTCACAAGACGTCTAGCATTTCCTTCACCTCGTGACCCACTAGAAAATTCTGCGATCAGGATTTGTTCTTCACTTCGAGAAATACAGAATCAGTTTCACTTAATTCACTGTGGTGTCGTAAAATCATTGTTGCAGTAATTTATCACACATCATGACCTCATTTATCCGCATCTGTTTTTAGAATACTCAGAGGGATTCCCCAAAGGCAATGGCAGAGATTTATAAACTGTTTGCTTTAACGACATTCAATTCCGTAATATTCCCAGTTGCTCAACGGTAGTTATCGGTCTCAGAGCAATGCATCTTCAAGTCATTACATAACACAATCAACTTAACAGGCGACATTCAAAGGAAGCCAGGAACGTGAGGAACGGAAGTCCTTTTTATCATTTATGTTTTACATTTCTCCTCTTCCTTTGTCTCTGCTGTCGGCGTGCACAGCCGTCTCACCGCAGCTCACTGTAATAAGACAAAATCAACATTTGTTTTAGCAGAAAACAATTAGATACATCAAACTACTAATTAAGACCTTTAAGACCTATCTGCCACACAACAAATTGAAACGTTTCAATATCCTTCATATAAAATATGTTTTATTCCTCAGTATCAGTTTTAAACTGGTTAAACTTGCAATAATTAATGCAAATATCTAAAACAGCGTCAGTATTCAATAACTTTAATAGTAACTGCACGTTGTTATGAGAATGATACTAATAAATTTAATTGATTTTAGAACTAAAATAAAGTAATAGACTAGAACAGGTTTTGCAAAAATAACCTATACAACAAATTAAAATGATATTCATGAGAAAGTTAGGAGAAGACAAAATTCTGGAAATGCTTGCTACTTCTCAGTTCAAAATATTTTGTCTTCCCGTCTGATTTCTATGAACCTGAAGATTAAAATATACAAAACAGTAATTCTGCCCATTCTTTTGCATGGGTGCGAAACACGGTCTCTCACTCTGAGGGAGGAACATACATTGCAGGTGTTTGAGAATAGGGTGTTGAGGAGGATATTTGGGCCTAGGAGAGAAGACGATGGGGTCTGGAGAAAACTGCATAATGATGAGCTTCAAAATGTGTACTCCTCCCCCAGTATTGTCAGGGTGATTAAGTCGAGAAGAATGAGATGGGCGGGGCATGTATCGCGCATGGATGGGACAAGAGGTTTGTACCGGGTATTGGTTGGGAAACCTCAAGGGAAGAGACCGCTGGGGAGACCTAGACGTAGATGGGAGGATAATATCAAGCGGGATCTATGGGAGATAGGAGTTGAAGGAGACTTGATTTTGTTGGCCCAGGACAGGGTCAGGTGGTGGGCTTTGGTTAATTCGGTGATGAACCTTCGGCTTCCGTAAGTCATCTTGTTAGTCAGTTAACCTATGCGTAATGTTACAATTATCTTTTACATTTAAACGTATCGTTTAGTTCTATTATAAATTATGAATCATAGAACATTTCATATATAATGATTACAACAAAAACAGGGCATTTAATGACTAAAATCAACAAACGTGCACTGAACACATGAGAATTACATTTTCAAACAACTAGCATAAAGATTCCGGCGCGTTTACTCTGTTATTAATCTACATTTTAAATTCGTGAATGCCAACTTTGATACGCTCCTCCATAAATAGCGTAAAACAGGAGCGACGGACATGCAAGCCCCTCCAGTATATATATATATATATATATTTTTGATCAAAATCAGTTTGGCATCACTCTAGCCACAAACCATCACTAAGTCACTTCTGTTTAATTACCTTGAAAACTGTAACAGTATAGAAAAACTTTCGAAATATTTTTTCACTCCAGAGTTACGCTGGACATTCGCTCCAAAACGCCTGTACACATCTTCATTAAAATAACCCGATACTGTTCTCCAATTTTAGCAATATTGGAAAATATCGCTAAATGTCTATAAAACTGCCAAATATCAAATTGTATACAATTTATTTTATCCATTCACGAGTGTTATGCGAATGGGCGATCCGCAGAGCCTAAAATGAGCTCAAAACACTCGGGCCATTTCAGGGTAGCTTTGTCATTGCATTTGCATCAGAAAATACAACAACAGTTACTGCATAAAGCTTTGATATTATAAAAAGCGTACTTCTAATTCAACACCAATCAAAATCGAAATCATTTTCTCCACTCATTTTCAGTTTAATTTGTTAGAAGTGTGAACGGATCATTTTCTTCTGAAGTGAAATCTGCGTGTCTTTTTCGACAAGTTATAAGACGACTGGACAACAGAAACGATCCGCTTAATTATCGTTATAACGTCATGAAGAAAATGTAGTCATGAAAATAAAATGGTAAATTATTTGAAGACTTTCCTTGTAGAGTACTTAAGCTCATGGGATAAACACTTCTTATATAATTTGAGATAGGCTTTTATCACGGAAGTAAATGTGTTGATGTTTCTCTAGTTTTAACGCCATGTGAACAGGCAGATAGATATACTTTCAGAGAAACATAGCCTACCGTCTTCATCTATACCCATGAAGATGGAGACAGTATGGTTTGCGAAACGTTGGTGTCTTCCTACCAGTCCACACACCGTTACAACCCCAAACATTGACACTTCTTACACTAATCTACAATTACAGCTTGAATCCCGGCAGGTGTTCAAGACAGTAGGATTTTCTGTATTTTTCTTAAGTCACGAAAATTTTAAGTTTAGACAGCCCATTTCAAACATTATTCAAATCTAAACAATTTAGATGGCGGAACGAGAGGTAGGATAATAAGCATTTATCTTTCCTCCTAGCTATTACACTATGCTTTACAAAACGAAGACTGGAGTTAAATCCCAAAGCACACAGGGAAGGTGCATTCATGCTAACCATGTCAGCCGTGTTAGTATAGCTAACGCTTTAGAAAGTGAAAAATTAGTCTTCTGTTTTCTTTCCTGGTCCTGTGGTACTTCACACATTGGAACACAGCAGAACCGAATAGACAAAATTTCATACTCAGCCAGCTCCAAACAACTAAGCGTTGTTAGTCAACTAGTCGAGGTTGGCGCTCGAACCGCAAGCCATATTACTGTTAGCTTTGCTTCTAGCTAAATGTATTTAGCACTAAAATAAATGTCAAAAATTTTACTTGAAACTTCACCGCAATTAACCTTGCATACAAAACCGACGAAAGAAAATAAAAATGTCATCTCAGCAGATTTGTTATTACACGAATTTCCATGCACGGACATGACAGTGACGGTGTCCTGCGGTGCAGTTGCGATTATGGGGGTTATTATGATGTGTCTTTAGCTACCAGTAAAAGCAGATTAAATAATAAACTAAGAAAGCTGCGCAATACAATCCCGATTTTAAAATATAAAAAAGGATAACAAAAATATTAAAAATAAATAACTACAAACTGAACACGTTGACCAATTTTCACTCCTGTAAATAACAGACCTAACCATTAACCTCCATTTTATGCAAAACAGCAGTATATATGATAGTCTTAAGGATAATGTTACAAATAAAATGACAACGACAATAAAGACCAAACAGAAACCGACATTTGACGAAGATGTATTCAGCAACAAGACACCACATTAAGCTCATCACTAGGTCTTACAGAATAACACAGCCAAGCAGTTCCATTATGATCACCTAAATAGAAAATCGAGAAAAATTCATTCGAAACAAATTGCCTTGGAAATCGAACATACAGCGCTCTATTTAAGAATAAAAGTAAAGGCACATATCAAACCAAGCATAACATTAACAAAAAAGAAAAATAGATAAAGGAAGAAGTTTTTCTGATCTTATACACAAAACAAGACAGAACTTAACTAAACGCACAAAGGAAGTATCAACAATACCTTATGTATAGGCATGATCCAGTTCATGTGACACCATGCGTGTGTTTTTTTTTCTCTCTGCAGATTTTCACTACACTAGAATCTTTGTAGCAGTAACATACTTTTGTAATTGTGATTGTTCAAGATACGTCGTGGCAAAGTAAATTTTACGCATTCCTCGACTTTAGTAAAATATATTGCAATTATTCCAGTTAGTTTAACTGTTTATAAACTTTTGCATTTCACATAAATTAGGCCACTCGACTCAAGGTATAGACATAATGATTCATTAATTACGACTGTGAGCTAAAAGTAAGTGAGTTTTGTGGGTGTTTAATTCGATTAGAGAAAGGAGAATTCGCGTTATGAACGCCAAGATTCATTTGTGCTAATCTGCTACACAGCATTTTCTATGCAAATGGTGCATTTTAAACAAACTCTAACAAGCATACAATGAGTTTCTCTGACAATATTTAAGTTAATTTTTACGGAGAAGTAAACAAACTGCAATTAAAAAGAAAAGCTTTCTTTTAATGAAAGTAGGATAAAAAATTACGATGCAGTTTGGAAGGAGAGGTAAAAATTATTGACATCGTGTCTCTTAAGTGGCCTTTTCAGTTCGTTCTATGTTTGATTAAGTAACGAGAGATACTCAAAGCAGGCCACTTCTAACAAACTTTGCTGCGTGCAAAAAAAAATCAAACCACTATTCTGGATTTATCAAAGAACAGTTACACTGAACTCCAGAAACAGTTACGAACGGTAAATATCACAAAGAAATGCAGCAGTTTCTGGATTGGTTCCTTGTACCTTAGCATCTCATGACAAACAAAATAAAATGAATTTCGGTCCTGAAAATAGCAATGTTTCAACAGAGCCACAATATGAGCACTCCTGCTTTGTATTCGGGAGGTCTCGGATTCAAACCTCGGTCCAAAGACTTGCTATGTTGACTGCGGTTGTTCCTGGTTTTTCCCAGTCCCTCCAGGCATATCCTGAGACAGTGCCTTATCACGGGCAGTGGACGCTTCTTTCAACATACTTTCCAATTCATTATAATCCAATCATTCGTAGCTACATTGTTTTAGGTAACTGACAGTATCCTTAAATAAACCATATACACAAACTTCTCGCATCACAGATCTGAGAGACACAAAGTTTGTATAACAACAAAATCAGAAAGATGTACTCTTTGACGTAAACTAAAATTCTCTTTACGCCACAACATGGGTGATGACGTCAACAAGGCAACCAAGTGAATAATAAATGCAACAATTATAAAGTCATCATTCTTGTCTAAGGTATTTGTTGTAAAAATAAAGTCATTTTAACAGTGTGCTCCAAGGTAATTTCTCTAACAATGTAAAGTTACTAAACAAGAATCATCTACGAATGAATCATGATATTCTTGCAGAAGAAATAAATCTTTTGATTTGTCATTACATAAAGCATCAACTATAACCTACAATATTGAATTTTATAACTATAAAAAGGGCCATTAACACTTTTAGAATTTAGAATTTTAAAAACTCGCAGCTCCAGTGTTCACCAGCCTGCTACAATAGTCAGTTGTCTGCGGAGAACAGAAGATGGGACTCAAATCATAGATCATGTTTTTGGCTACAGATATGCGGCAAAG